ATATTCTTAAGGTACTAAGGTACTACTAGTCAAGTTGTAATATTGAATGTAATACATTGTAATCCGCATTTATAATATTAAGTTATACTTATCCTTATCCTATTAAGAGATGCTGGTTATCCTGCACATTATCTATTTGTTATAAGTGTTTTCTCCATCTCATGTCTCTTTCTGTTCTATTTATGAAGCATTTTTAGATGTGCTGCATTTGCCCAGTGTTGTTTTATATTATGTAATTATTTTGTGCTGATGTGTATATTCTAGAATAATATTAGTGTGTAAAACTGACAAATTTTCTGTGACGTCAGTCCTGGAAAGCTGTAAGAGGAGTTTTTGAATGTAATCAGATTTTTTTCAAGTTTCCAAATCTGATCCCATTCAGAAATAATTATATCTGCCTACAGAACATATCAGAAGATTTCTCTGATCACTCAACTTCAGAGATCCGTTCAAGATCGACATGTTTTAAAACATGTTTTAGAAATGTCATCATGATGCTGATTTTTGTGCCGTAAATGTTACAAAGAAACTATCATGCCAGAGCTGAAGTACTGAAATGGCCTGTCAAAAATCACCCATAAAATCTTGTAACACAACCTCAGTAAGATGCAATAATTGTGTGCCTTGTGATATCTTCAGACTTTTTTTTTTTAAACTGTGCACCAGCCTATGAAGTTGAGCCTATATGAATGACTATTTTACAATAGAAATGAACTTGTAAGATCTCTGTTCATGTGATATATGCCATTAAAACAAGTGAGAATGGCTGATCTGTTCATTTGTTTGTCGTGATTTTAGAGCTTGTTATCAGAAATAACTGAACTAAACTACTACTGAATCATTTGCAGTGTTGGGGGTAACACATTACAAGTAACTTAAGTTATACGAAATCAGATGCGTAACAAGTAACACATTACTTTTAAATTTACAACAAATTATCTGAGTCACTTTGTTTTCCATTTATTGCCCTCCTGTCCTTGTTTTGAGAGGAATCGGAAGTAAGTGCAGAGCCATTGTGTGTGCTGTAATGCCTACTGTAGTTCCAGACTAAAGGTCAACATGCATTTAACTTTTTTAAAGGGATAGTTCACCCAAAAATGAAAATTTGATGTTTATCTGCTTACCCCCAGGGCATCCAAGATGTAGGTGACTTTGTTTCTTCAGTAGAACACAAACAAAGATGTTTAACTCAAACCGTTGCAATCTGTCAGTCATATATTGTAAATGAATGGTACCCACAGCTTTGAGTCAAAAAAACATACACAAACAAAACCAAATTAAACCCTGCGCCTCGTGACGATACATTGATGCTTACTACTATATAAAGTATTATATATACAGCTTACTACTGTATATATTATAATAATTTTGTACATCTCACACCTGATAAACAGGTTAAAAAAAATATCACAGCACATTGAAGGAGAGACACAAGCTTTATCTAGAGACTAATGTGTTATTGATTCATGGATACAGATAAGATAACACAACACACTGTACAATTCGGACGACTTTGAATGAACCAGAATTCAAAAGTAGTAGATTTTTCATCATTTTTGTCACTTTGAAGGATAAATCTTTATAAAAGGACTAATAAGGCAACAAGAAAAAAGCATTTGAACTGCGTTGGGGAAATATTTATTTTATTCCTAACTGAACAGCCACCATATACTTTGGTCTTCAGCATTGTGTATGCTATTGTGTCCATTAAGAACTGTATATTAGATTACAGCAACAGGTTACACATACAATTAACTTACCAACCAGATGCCACAAGCAGAAGAAAACAAACAAGTGAACCATTTTTCAATAAGATGGCTCCAACTTACACTGTATCGAAGAAAAAACAACAAGTAATTAAAATGTTTACAGTATAGCTGAGGGGAAAGTACTGGTAACCAAGGCTTCGTGATTTTTAACAAGCCGACTTTCTTCCTTGTCAGAAACTCAAAATTGCAAAAATACAGGTCATGTCAATGTGGCAAAAAATGATCCAAGTGTTGTGAAAATTATGGTGAAATTGGAAACTATCCTATATTGGAACCATTCTAAACAACTTCATAAACTGAAAACTCACAAACTAAAGAGCAGTTCATCCCAACCCTGTATTTTTCTTACTACTATTATGTCCAAAAAGTAACATAAAAGTAGACCTTACAATTCATACAGTAGTCATATGATACCTTTATATGAGGAACAGGGCATAATTTAAGTCATCATTCACTGATAATGTGATACAGCTCATAAATCTCAAGGGTAGTGGTGAAAAGGTGAAAAAAAAATAGTGGTAGATACTGTTTGCAAGAAATATATCATCTTAAATGAGCCATGATTGGTTGTGAGATGAGTCAAGGCCAATATAGTGTGACATGAGGTGCCATGTTTGAATGATGATATTTGAACATTATATGGACTACTTTAATGATGATTTTATGGCCTTTTTTGTCTTATTGGGGCTTGACATTTTAAATCAGCATTAACTTTCACCGAATGGTGAAAAGCATAACTGTGAGTATGATGACAGAATTTTTATTTTTGGATGAACTATTTAACCTTTTCTTCACATAGATAAACTGCAGAAATATGGTGATGTTTAATCATTTTATAATGTGAGAAGTTAATAAAATAAGAATGTAAACGACAGGACAAATAACATCTCTACTCACCATAGATCAGGTGCATCTAATTATGAAAAATGAAATGAAATGAAAAAGGGATAGTTCACCCAAAAATAAATATTTGCTGTTAACGTGCTCACCCCTATAGGCCATCCGAGATGTAGGTGACTTTTTTTCTTCAGTAAAACAGTAAAGAAGATTTAGATAAACATTATTACCTGTAATCCAGAGCCTCAGGCAAATCATGCAATCATATAATGTATACAGAATTATATTATTAAAGCATGACCGTGATATCTGTAACATTCTTAATGCACAAGTAGTTCCAGAAGCACTTGCACACAGATAATCGTGCACACACTGATACATCCACGCAGGAGCACAGAAACTTGACAATGCTGCCCTGTGACGTTTATCAACAAAATAGCTCTGCTACTAGAAAACTTTTTTATTTTGTATGTGTCTAAATGGAATTATATATATAATATTATATACATACACATACAGCATAATTTATATTGAATATTTATAATAATATTTATATTTCTCAGCAATCTTCATTAATATATGAATGGTTTATCTGATATTAAATATAATGATTTAAAATGTTAAATGCCTGTTAAGATATGTTGTTGCATGTTTGCCATTTATTTATTCATGTATATTATTCATGTTCCTTTTTCATTTTGCAGGAAAAAGTGAGATGTGCTTTTCCTAATGTGGACACAAGATCCCTGAGAGAGTCTGCTTGCAACAAGTAAGTAAATAAATTTTATTTATATAGCACATTTCAACATAGCAAAGCTATCCAAAGTGCTTAACAATGTAAAATCAAATTAAAAGAGAAAAGGAAACACAGAAAAGAATAAAAAATAAAATAAAATAAAAATAAATAAAAAAAAAGACAATAACACAACAATGAAATGAAATTAAAATGCTAAGGAGAAATGATACGTTTTCAACCTCGATTTAAAAATGGTAATGGAAGGTGCAAGGTGGCAGTCTAAAGGCAATTGGTTCCACAGACGGGGGGGCAGTGACTGAAAAGGCTCTGTCACCTTTAGTTTTCAAATGGGAACGAGGGACAGATAAAAGAGCCCTGTCAGTGGATCTTAAAAGTCTGGTCGATGACAAAGGGATAATAAGGTCTTTAAGATAAGATGGAGCTTGATTGTTTAGAGCTTTAAAAACAAACAACAGAATCTTAAACTGAACTCTAAAATGAACCGGAAGCCAGTGAAGCGAAGCTAAAATTGGAGTAACATGGTCATATTTCTTTGCCCCAGTCAGCAGCCTTGCAGCTGCATTTTGTACCAACTGGAGGCGTGAAAGCGATGACTGAGGAAGACCTGAGTACAGTGAATTATAGTAATCTAAACGTGAGGTAATAAAAGCACGAATAACCTTCTCCAAATCTTGAAAAGACAAAAATGATTTAAGTTTGGAGATGACCCGTAATTGATAAAAACTGTTCCTAACGACAGAATTAATTTGTTTGGACAAACATAATTCTGAGTCTATGATAACGCCCAGGTTTCTAACCTGTGAGGAAATGGAGGGGAAATGATTGCCCAGCTCCTCAATAATATCCATTCTCATTTTTTGGGGACCAAAAACAATAATCTCTGTTTTGTTCTCATTGAGTTGGAGAAAGTGCTCCTCAATGATATCCATTCTCATTTTTTGGGGACCAAAAACAATAATTTCTGTTTTGTTCTCATTGAGTTGGAGAAAGTTATTTGTTAACCAATTTTTAATATCTGAGATACATTCCAGCAATGGCTGAATGGAATCACCAGCTTTTAATGGGAGGTACAACTGCGTATAATCAGCATATAAATGAAACGAAACATTGTGCTTCCTGATAATATCCCCCAGAGGGTGCATATATAAGTTAAAAAGAAGCGGTCCCAAAATAGAGCCCTGAGGTACTCCACTAATAATTGGGGCAGATGATGAGGAAAACTTGCCTAGCTCCACAGAAAAAGACCTGTCTTTGAGGTTTTTACAAATTATCAAATGAGCGAAAGCTTAATTTTGAGATATGTAAATTATAATGTTTGAATATTGTGAATTTACATTTTCATGCTTTGTTTCATTGTGCCTTATACGGTTTCATTGTGTCATATACCCTAGTTTG